GTGTTACATTTAAGTGCATATTACACTGTTGGGTCATGTAACATGTAAATGCTTTAAATCTGCTCCACTTTGGCGTCGGTTATCACAAATAGTCTTTGTATAACTATTTTATAAAGGCTGAAAATACAACTTTGTAAAAGTAATCCTGAACGAGGACGCAAGTTTTATTTTAAATACTTCCGCTCCCCTGCTTTTAGACAAACATAGGTAATATACGTGAAATAAAACTTTATTTTAGACTGCAGTGGAAGTGGTGCATATAATGTATTCTTAGCTCTATATACTTTGCACGTTTTATTATGAGGCCACTACTTATATTTGTTTTGGCTAGTTTTTATGTATGATCTAAAATAAAAACCCTTGGCCAACACGTATTTTGTTGGCAGCATCTGCATATAGCATTCATATCTAGCATACTGTAAGTGGAGCCTTAATGGTTTATCCTGTGCGTGCCTTGTAGAACTTGGAGCATCTCTGCATAAAGTTCTGAAAACTTGTTAGTTCTGTGAAATGAGGATTAAGACGTGAAAAATTAAGGTCGTGATCAGTGAAGTTCTTAGATGGCGATCTCCCTACACACTGAAAGCAGTGCCTTTTTGTATGAAGGAGCAATCTTCTTCTACTATGCTATTAAGATTTAAATACATGCCTGTTCAAACCTGACATTTGCTAAATCCAAAGAACAGTCTAAGTTTTATCAGCATTACAGTCTTGCCATAAATTCTAAGGAATTGGAAAATCTGCTTATAAAATCAGCTGCAAGTGCTGTGCTGTTCCAGAGGCATAACCTCATTTAATTTCAGAAGTGGCTTGTCACAGAGCTGTATCGTTGCAGAACTCTGGCCTTGTTCATTGTTCTGGCCATTGTTAAATTAGTCCTACAGGGTCCATCCTAAGACTCCGTGGTTCCCTCTGGAGCACAGAAGTGACCATAGTTCACCTTTTAAAGGTCTCAAAAAGACCAGATTTCTGCCACTGAGTAGTATTTCTCAACAGTACAGCAGGGAGGCAACTGTCTCTCCCATTAGCAGTATGATGAACGAAGAAAGTCATCGGTCCCCAAGAATTAGTGTCTGCTACAAAATAAGGTACTGTGCCTGTTCAGGCAAGCCACAGCTTGTGACCAAATTATGACTCCAGTAGTAATTCTCTAGTTCTGTCTTTGGCAAAAGCCATCTATTTGCATTCCTTGTGTGACAGGCAAGGAATCTTGCTTACCTTGCATAGGGGGAAGCAGCTAGTAGAAGATGCTACTAGTTACACATGAGGCAAGCAAACTTAATTTTCAGCATGCTTACCTTGTTCACAACATCTTTTGTCTTTGTCTTGTACATCACATGCAAGAAACAGGCACACCTGTTCAAAAAAGAGCTGCTGGCATATGTGATGTTAAAATGATCAGACAGAATACATTTCCTATGCAATGCAACAGAATGTTTATTAAACATTATTTATATAGCTGTGAACACTTCAGAATAAAATTGGTATACCTCTGAGGTGTGACCTGCATAGCATTTTACTTTCATTTCCTTTACATCTGATAGGATTTTTATCAGAACACTTGAAAGCTACACTTTAAGGAACAAATTCTTACTGCACACAGAATAATGCAATACTATTTTCCAGTCAGCAGTGAGGTAAAGAACTTCTTGACAAAACACCAAACTTGCAAGGAAAACTTATGTACTTCCCTTTGCTGATAAAAGAATTGGTTTTGTTTTAAAACTGTTCTTTCACTAGTCCTGATAACAGCACTAGTTACCAGGAACAGAATATTTTTATAAAGTAAAAACAAAAACCAAAACCCGTGATCAATAGTAATATAATAATACTGATCAATAATACTTTCTGTCAAGGACAGTGGGACAGAGAGAATGCTCTGTCATTTCCTCAAGTTTCTAATCTCAGTAGTATGTTTTCTACACTTCAGCTGCTCGTTCTTAAATAAAATGAATGTTTCCAAGCATTCTGGTTTTGCTATTCTTAGCATTCTTGTCTTGTTTTAGATTCATAGAACAGTTGGGTTGGAAGGGACCTTTCCAGGCCACCCAGTCCAACCCCCGGCCGTGAGCAGGGACATCCCCAACCAGAGCAGGTTGCCCAGAGCCCCATCCAGCCTGAGCTGGGATGTTCCCAGGGATGGGGCATCTCCCACCTCTCTGGGCAATCTGGGCCAGTGTTTCCCAATTAAAACCTCATACATCAAAATACTTCACCACATTCTCTTTCTACATTTTTGAGGTTTTTTTTGCTGTCTGTTAAGTTTCTGTCTTGTTTGTTCTGTAGGAAAGTAAATAAATGCATTAACAATTACATGGATAGCTGTCATCTGCCATCTCACTTAACAGCTCTGTGAGGTAGGAAAGTTAGTATCACCTTAAGAAGCAGAGAAACTGAGGCAAAGGACTGAAATTCTCATCACTCATCTGTGAGCCACTGGTGAAAACTGGAATTCTGTAATTTCTCAATCTTAAATTCTGCCATATATTCTTTCTAAATTACATTACCTTTAATTATACTGATTCATAAAGGTAATGTTAACGCATTGTTAAATATTACAGTCCCTTCTTACCAAAATACTAAATACTAAGTTCTTTTAACTAGAATAATAGCTCTTCAAAATACTCTCATTATGTTGTTTGTCCATATTACTAAGGTCCTTTCAAGTCAGTTTATATTAAAGTGCTTAGTGGTCAATTATTTTCAGTCACCTGAATTCAGAAGTTACATAAAATCAGAAGTCAGCTGCCAAATACGAGCAGCTTACGTGCCCGAAGGCCGTATCTCTTCTTTGCTGCAGTCATCAAGAATTTCATTATTACTTTCAAGTTTTGACTGCTAAAGCATAGAACTGACTAGTGCAAATGCTTAGGCACAATTTCGACTAAAATGCATATATTCTTTTTCTGTGCAGAGGCAATACAATGGCATATAGCTTAGTCCATCAGTAGGTATTCCAGAGAACCTTAAAAAGGCGCATGTCTGCAAAACATTTGGCCAACGAACAAAACAAAGGATCCCATATCCTGTTTTACAGCATAGTACAATTAAAAAGAATTGTCCAACGTGTTTTTGGAGAGTATACTTAAAACAAACAGAGCCACCATTAGTTCTGTTGATACTCAGCCTACCTCCAGAATTCTACTTCAAGTAGTGTAAGGCTTGAGCAGGGTACTACCTAGCAACAATAGCTAGTATGTTGCTTCATCCATATTGTCGTCACTGCCAGCACCAAAGTCATCTCCATCTTCAAAATATGAAGAAATGTAGTCATTTTCCTAAACAAAAGGGAAAAAAAAAAAAATCAATCACCGTGTCTGTGGAGGACACAATTTATGGAAGAAACATGCTTTAAACTGCACTTGAGTCCCCACATTTTGAAACAGTAATAGGAGTTGTTTCTTTCCTTATTTCTTGTGAAAGAAAAAGGAAAATATTGTAATGAAGTTCCGATATCTATGAAAGAAGAGGCGTCATTCTTCTAGTGATGAGAATGAATAATTGTATGTATTAATTATGGCAGGGGACATTTCCTCTTGTACAAACTTTTTTT